GGGGGGTAGGGCGCTTACTCTGTTCTAGTGTCTACGTTGTACGTGATCTCATGCCACATGTTATCTCATAGAATTGGTACTTTTCAATAAATGTAAATTATGAACAAGCAAAGGTTTTCTCTTAGATTGTGAAATTGTGGTGATGACGGTACGAAGAGTACTTGTACATGTTCAGTTGTTTTCGCTTCTATTTTGGTATTCCTTTGCCTAAAAGAACACAATTAATGGTACGCAATTTTTCTTCGGGGAGTTTTATGTTCAGTACATCTGTATTGTAAGTGAAAGTCCAAAACTTTGGTTCTGTATTTTGCTATAAATGACAGACTAGACATTTTTTACCAAATTCTTGTTGATATAGTACGAGTACTTTTCTGATGTCATCAGATCTGCTTTGGAAGAAGCTTTTGCATTTCAAGAGCACCTTGAATACTGCACCCCCTCCCCTCCCCTTTCTGTTCCCTCTCCTTCGTCTTCTTCCTCCTGCAGTTCCATTTCTTCTTCCTACTTGTATTTCAGTATCTTCTCTTACTCTCCCCCCATGTTGAATGAGTCCCGCAACTCATATGACCTTATGCAGTTGCGAGCGACGTAAAACACTTACCAAAAGAACAACAACAAGAACTAAAAACAAAAAACCCTCGTCTAGCCGATTCCCACTGTGTACTCATTCAGTTGTTCCCTCTTGCAGCAAGCATACAACTTGAAACAAGGGTTTATCTAACTAACATTGGGCAGGGTGTAAGTTTTGAAATCTTGCGAAGATCTAAATATCTTATCGGTATAGGTTTGTTTTCTTTAATTAAACGGTTTGTCTGTGGCGTGATTTTATTAATGCAATGGGTCCTGTGCTCAGAATAAGTACAACCTTTTTTGCTCTTGAGAAACTCTCACTGTTTTTTGCACAGTGTGAGTGTGTGTGTGTGTGTGTGTGTGTGTATGTGTGTGTGTGTGTGTTTGTGTGTGCGTGTGTGTGTGTATGTGTGTGTGTGTGTGTGTGTGAGAGAGAGAGAGAGTAAGTGAGTGAATGAAAAGAAACGCAAAAAACTATTTTGGCCATAACTAAATAACCATCTATAGTAGAAGACTAAACTTTACGTCATCGATAGTACGTTATATCCTCTTTCGAAATCAAAAGTTTTCTGTCTTGCTTGTGACCGGCAACTAGAGTTATTGCCCCTTAATTGAAGCGTGGAAAAAGCCACGTGGTGTCTTCGAAACACGGTCTAAATGGGTGAAAAAAAGGGTGAAAAGTATTCTCCTGTGCTGGGCTATAAATGCCGTGGAAAAAAAAACCGGTTCAGTTGTTTTGCCTGCATCTACTACGATAATACCACGTTTAATGGCTATACAGCTAGAAAAAGCAATTGGCCGTTGGGAAGGTGAGAAAGGCCAAATGTGGTTGCCAATCATTTCTGTGTTCACATATCGACTATCAACAGACTCATAACCCGTTTTCAGCTCACGAATTTTACGTCGACCCAAAGTGACCGATGTACGTGCATACAAATACATTGTCCTTATGTATCGTTCAAATCTACCTCAGACATCTACAAAACATCAGATTTCATGAGGGGTATCCATGGAAGAGCCCTAAGTCGACACACATGTGTCAAGTAGGCCTAAGACGCCGTCAACCGTACCATTGTCCAGTCTTGACCGCACACCATCGCCAAAAGCGTTTCAATTGGGCCCAGCACCATGTCAACAGCCGTTTGAGAGACTGGTCTTTGGTTCTCATTTTCGGACGAATGCCTGCTCTCCATAGATAAAATTAACAGGGACCTCAGAATTTATCAGGAGGAAGACGAACGTTATTGTGACAACTGTGTCATAGAAAGGAATCGCTGGGAAGGACATTGCGTCATGATCTGGGGTGGAATCATGTGGAACCACAAAATAAGACCAATGATCTTCCAAAATCAAGTTCAAGGTCGAGGTCAAGGTGTAAATGCTGCCCGTTGTTTAGCAGTTCTCAGGCCCCTCTACATAGTCAAAACTTTAACTTCCGGTTCCTGTCTGATAATGCTCGGGCGAACACTTCTCGTGTTACACAGGATTTCCACCAACACCATGGCATCACTGTGCAGCCTCTCCCTCCCCTTAGCACGGATTTAATCCCAATTAAGCATGTTTAAGACAAAATTAAACGACGCACCAAAGAGAGACAACCAAGGCAGAGAACCACGCAGGACCTGGAAGTGGCCAGCAGGGCGATACGGAGGCAGATCCCGTTACGATTTACCAACAACCTAGTGGCTTCCTTGTACCGGAGATCCACTGCGGTTATCCGATCTAATGGTAGCCAAAACCACTACTGAGCATTTTGATGCACTAATCGGAAGTTGAAAAAGTATTCCGCTAAAATTCAATATTCAAAGTGATGCGCCACCAATCCTTTCATAATACCAGAAAACAGTTTGTGTTCAAATTCCCCCGTTTTGTTAAAAATGGAAAACGAACATGATCACCATCGCAAAGATAAACATGATTTTGCGTTTCTTTTGCTCGCTAGTATATATA